GTATTTCAACATTAATTGTCTAATTGATTGTAATAAGAATACAGAAAAAAATCTAGAGCCAATCAGCGAGAATGATGAAGTTGTAATTAGTAATTTGGAACATTTGATATTTATAGAGACAAATTCACTTCATTTGAATTGTGTTTATCGTGTCGTTGTCGACCAGGGAACTACCATCGTATTGTATGCCCAAATTAGTGGCGCCAGGTTTTTAAATGTCCCTTTAATAATTAAGAATTGCTGAAATTTATTTTTGTGTTTTTTGTGGTTCACAACATGGGTTAAAAAATCGTCTGTATAAGTCCAATTTTTGTTATAATCTCTCTTTTATTATCTTTATTCATGTCAATACATTATGGTTGGTGATATTTTTGAAAAGCTATCAGCAAAACTGGCTGCAATTTGGTATTTGTGATCCCCAGTAGTTAGTAAAATGACGTCTGAGATTTTAGCTAAAAATGCATTCGATGTAGTATAGTTCAACGTGGGTTCATTTCAAACCCCCAAACATGCAATAATGTGGAGTACCATTATATGGGGGCTATTCAATAGCTTGGCCGAATATTGTTAAGAACATTTTCTACTCAATGATCATCCCAAATATAAAATTACATCCAAATACCGAATATTATATGATACCGTTATATGGGGGCTACCCGTATATTTGGGCCAATTTTGATAATTTTAAGTAGGGAGATTTTCTGCTCAATAAGTATTAAGTTGGAAACAAATTTCGCTGAAAAACGTGCCAAGATGCTTCAAAATACCGAATATTGGGGGTACCGTTATATGGGCGCTACCCTTAAAAGTGTACCAACATGTTCAATACAAATATCGTAGGTGTATTAGCAATACATGTGCAAATGTATGTGGGTATAAAATAAATCTAAAATGCCGAAATGTATACATCGAAATATTGCTAAGGAAAGGCAACATTTTCAGGTCAGCAAGTTATATTCAGATAGAATTGATACAAAAAAATAATTTTAATTTGTTTGACGTCATTTAAGATTTCCGCATTTGCGGATTATAATTACTATTAGGTTTGTGTGCAATATGGAGTAAGAGACTATAATTTAATAATAATTTGACGAAGTAAATACTAGCCAGAATTTTTAAAAATACAAAAGAAAAACAACCAGAAATTCATTTTTTTTTATTATCAATAGAGCACCAATGTCTGTCCGATTGGCACGAAATTACGCATAGTATATTGAACTGTCTATGTAGATCCAAAGATGCATTGGCTTTTTTATCGACAGGAATTTGTACATAGGAAAATATACCCATCCGCAATTTTTTTCCAATGGAAAAATTAGAAATGTGTGCTGTTTTTAAATATTTATATTAAAAAGGGTTTATCGGGACAAGAAATTCATAATGATATGGTGAATTTGTTAGGTGAAAGTGTTCCTTCATATGCAACAGTAAAAAATTGGGTTGCTGAATTTAAACGGTCGGACGTACAAGCATTGAATATGAACCACGTAGTGAGCGTCCAAAAAAAAACTAAAACCAAAGAAATTGTAGCCAAAGTGCATGATATGGTATTTAAATAATCGACGAATAAAAGGGCGCGAAATTACTAATATCATGGGCATCTCAAATGGTCGACTCCATTTATTTTTGCATGGGGAACTACAGATGAAGATCTTGAGGAAAACTTGAATTCCCCATGGAATTCAAATCTTGGGAATTGACTTTCAATCATTTTTGGACATTTATAAAACATCCATTCATGAACGATCACGATTTTGTGGTCATTATCTTGATAAAATTGAAATATTGTCCCCAATGCCTATTTTCCAGCACATTTTGAATGATCTTTTCGAATGTTCAAATAATAAATGTTATGCATAATTCCTTCAATAAAGCGACAGACAGGTTTTTGGGGTTTATGAATGGCTTTTTCAGCCAATTTTTTTTCGAATTGTTTTTTACATTTACTTTCCAGATATTTCTCTGCGCTTTTATGATTCGAATTAGATGAAATTTGGCGCAGCTCATTTGTTTGGCCCAAGGACGAACCGTATTGAAATTGGGAAAAATCGGTTCAGATTTAGATATAGCTCCCATACATATTTTCGTCCGATTTAATGTAAATGGTGTACCAAAGCCCCTATATATCTTTCGATTTGCACGAAATTTGGTATAACGTACTGAATTGGGCCTAGAATGATGTCTTCCAATTTTCGTGAAAATTGGTCCAGATTTAGATATAGCTCCCATATATAGTTTCGTTCGATTTCATGTAAATGGTGCACCATATATCTTTCGATTTGCACGAAATTTGGCACAACGTACTGAATTGAGCCTAGAGTGATGTCAGCAAATTTTCGTGAAAATCGGTATAGATTTAGATATAGCCCCCATATATAGTTTCGTCCGATTTCATGTAAATCGATATATATATATATCTTTCGATTTGCACGAAATTTGGCATAACGTACTTAATTGAGCATAGAGTGCTTTATGCAAAGTTTTGTGAAAATCGGTCCAGAATTAGATATAGCTTCCATATATAGTATCGCCCGATTTTATGTTAAAGATTCACCAAAGTCCCTATAAATCTTTCGATTTGCACGAAATTTGGTATAGCATACTGGATTGAGCCTGGAATGATGTGTGCTGAGTTTCGTGAAAATCGGTTCAGATTAAGATGTATATATTTCCGTCAGATTTAATGTAAATAATGTACCAAAGTTCTAATATTGCATAGATCGATTGATTTTAAGTAATTGACGCACCAAGGAACCAATATATGGTTGATAGGAACAAAACGTATTGAAATTAGTATAACCCAACCTGTGACAAGTTTCGTTGAAATCGGTTCATATTGGATATAGATTCCACATATATTTCCGTCCGATTTTAAGTAAACGTTGCAAATGGTGATTGCAGGGCTGCCAGATTTTTTTTTTGGGAAAATCGTCAAAATGACGATTTTTTTATCAAAAATCGTCAAAAATTTAAATACGCACATTTAGATATATTTAAATATATTTTATTATTAAAAGGAACATAAAAGAGATATTCAATTTATTAAACACGTTTTTAAAGCTAATCAAGAAATTCATTTATTTTATAAATAAATATTTGAATAGTCATTTCGACTTTAATAAAGTCATTCATTTTGAAAAGAAATATTTGTGTATATCATTTTCAACATGTCGGTTTTAATTAACGTATCATAACAATTTGTTTTGTTAACTTTTAAATAATCTTTGGTATACATTTCTCCATTGAATCCTTATTGGGGGAATTTCGACTTTTCGTTTTATTAAGATTTACTCGGCTGAAAATACGCTCAACATTTGCTTAGGAATGGGGTAATACCATTACCTTCCGTACAAATTTAGTTATTATAGGAAAAACATATGAACCATCACCACGTTTCAAATCGAATGTTGCATTCCAAAAACGAAATAAATCGGTTTCATCATTTTCACAAATGTTACCAAATTAAACAACCTTAGTTCGCGAAATTCTGAATACAATTTTTGTTTTTCATCTTCGTTCACAAAATGTGGAAATTCTTTAAGGATATGAATTATGAATTATGAAAAATGAATTATTCTTTTCATTATTAATATACGTGGGACTTATCATAGATACAATTTTAAAAATGCTTTCAAATCAAATCTTTTTAAAATTGTAATAACTTTGTATAAATTGAAACTTAAATTTAATATAACAACTTTTCCGTTCACCAATTTTCTTCTATTTGCCCGTGTCAAAAAACAACAACCATTAACTTTAATTTGTTTTGTTGCTTTTTACCCAGAGAACGGCACAGCTGATTGGGATTTTTTCATATATCTGGGTAAACGTAAACTCTTGTTGGCTTTGTAACAATACAAAGTATACCTCACACACATATGCCAAATATTCATATTCTTTCGCTTTGTACATTTTTGATGTTGCCATAACAAAAAGAACCCAAATATTGGAATATTACTAAAATGACCAAAAATCGTCATTTTTTTGGGCAAAAATCGTCAAATCGTCATTTTTCAATTTTTAACCAAAAAATCGTCAAAATGACGATAAATCGTCAAATCTGGCAGCCCTGGGTGTTTGTCAGATTGACATGAAATTTTGCACAACGTACAAAATTGAGCATAGAATAACGTAGTTGCCTTTTCTGGAAGTACAGACATAGCCCAACATTTGTCCCATTGTAACAAACAAATGACATGCTTATAGATTGATCTAAGTTGATCCACATTTAGATGAATATCACATATTTTAGTTCATCCAATTTCATGTTAATTGTCCTGTTTAATATACCCATAGTGGTGAAGGGTATCATATAGTCGGCCCCGTCCGACTTTACTACTTTCCTTACTGGTTTTGATTGGATACTTTTTCACTGCGAGGTTGCAATTGTAATAGTTTTATACCCTTCATCAAACTATGGAACATGGTATTATGTCTTTGTGCATATGTTTGTTTCAGGCAAAAGAAAACGAGATGTTGAAACGAGATGTTTAGAATATGCATAGAATCACTTTCTAAGTCGATTTATGCATGTCCGTCCGTCTGTTGATGTTAAATTGTAAACAAAGTATAGGTCACATTTATGATCCGAATGATTTGGTTTAACAAATGAAAGCCCTGTTAATATAACATGCAAAATAAAACACAATCGGCATCGCTTTCATTTAGACCAAATCGAACTAGGTCAGTGAACTGCTCACATTTGATGTGAAAGGAACGATTATTTTTGTTCGATCTTTCAATGAACTAAAAAGTACTATTTCGTTCAGGAACTGTACGACTCTAGTCTAAAATGGTGAAGGGTATCATATAGTCTGTCCCGTCCGACTTTACTAAATTCCTTACTGCTTTTATATTGAATTCATGTAAATATTTGCTATTTTATTTCATTAATTTAAAGTAAGGATGTTGTTTTGACTGTGAATCACTGCATTTATCCAGATCCCTTGGATGTGATACACACATACAGTGAGTCATTTGGCTCATTGAGGTACGTATGGATGTTTACCTACCCGGTATTACTTGTAACCGAACCGGATATTATCCACGATATATTGGCATCACCATGTTGTACGAATAAAAGTGTTTTCTATAAACCGCTAAACATAGCTGTTGGAACAGGTCTATTTTCTTTGAAAGGTAACTAGAATAAGCAGAACAAATAAAATTATATATTAACTAGAAAAAAATTTAAGATCCCGAATGGAGTGTTCATAGAAAATATTTGAATCCTGCCTTCGGCTTTAAAATGTTACAGAGTTTTATGCCAATCTTCAATGAGGAGGTGGACAAGGTTGTAGAGCTTTTCAAAGAGACTACTGAATTTCCAGATGTGACATCATTGTTGCAAAATTTTACATTGAACGTGGCCATAAGTGAGTTAACGTTTTCAGTTTCAATTTTTTTCGGTTAATGTTTTGTTGTAATTGCAGGAACAACAATGGGAGTTAATGTTGCCAATGAGTTTCAAAATGGATCCAAAAGTGGCATAATCAAAAGTTTTCAGTGGTATGACAAAAATCTCCATTATTTCTATGGATTTGTGTAATTTCTAAAATTTTTCGCAGTATTTTGGAGAATCTACCTCTTATGATGGCAAGCCCGTGGTTGACTAATAATTTTATTCGGAGGCTATTTGGTGTGTACGAACCATACCACTCCTGCAAAGCAGAAAATCGCAAGTTTATTAGGAAGGTGAATAAAAATAGGAATTATTTCATCGTCCAAACGTGCTGTAAAGTGACGAGAGTTTCGAAATGTAGTGATTCGTAATAACTGGGTGTAACGTTTTTAGTAGTGTCGTATTGGTCTTGTATTGACAAGTTCACATAAAAGAAGCTTCAAAAGTGACTGTTACAGTAATACCGGCACCTATCCATTAAAATAATGCATTCTCACGTAATAAGACCGTCAACATATTCTCCATGCAGCTGTTGGCGGATTTTGTTATTTAAAGTATTTAGTATTCAAATTAAATATACAAACCTATTAATTTTGCAGCTCATAAATAACAAATTAAATGGAGATGGTGGCGAGGCTAATTTGATGCAAGGAGAATCAAAGAATATTTTCATTGATCAAGTTATTGAACTTATGAAGAAGAATGTCTTTACATTGCAGCATGTAGAAGACGAATCAAATACAATCATATTCGGGGTAATTTTGACATATCATATGCCATTTACATTGTTAGCGTTATATTTATTTGAAGGCTTTCGAAACGACGGCCAATACAATTGGACATATTCTAGTTTTGCTTGCAATGTTTCCTGAATTTCAACAAAAAGTCTACGAGGAACTATTGGCCATGTTTCCAGATGGGGGAGATTTTGATGTGACCTATGCGAATATTCAAAATATGACCTATATGGATATGGTAATCAATGAATCTATGCGTTTGCTGACACCAGTACCCTTCGTAGCACGTGAGAATTCAAGTGATATCGAGCTATCCAACGGGATGGTTATACCAGCTGGAGTGCAATTTGTTCTTAACATTTTCACCATGCACAGAGGTAAAGATTTGTGGGGTCCCAAAGCTGACATGTTTGATCCGGACCATTTTTTGCCTTGTAACATGGAAGGCAAACAACCGTATGCATTTATTCCCTTTACAAAGGGAATTCGGAATTGTATAGGTAAGAGGACAATAATGCCGGAAATTAATACTTACTTTGTTTAATCGTTTAATTTTATTTATAATGCAGGATGGAAATATGGTCTCATGTCGACAAAAGTAACCTTGGCAAAGTTATTAAGGAATTTTAAATTTTCCACCGATTTGCAATATTCGGATTTGGAGTTTAATTATGCGATTGTACTGAGGCTAAAACATACACCCTGTTTGAGGATTGAAAGAAGATAAATATAGATATAAGGCAAATATTATACTTCGTGGGAACGGACAGATAAAATTCATTGTTATATTTTAATAAAAAATTTGCACAGACATATTCCTGGTACTTTGGACTTTAAGGATTTTGGACTCGTTTTTACCCGAATTGGATGAAATTTAGTGTTTTGGTTTCTCATTGAAAAACACATATCCGTACCAAAAATTAAAATTAATATTGAACCCAGTTTCAGGGTATCCCCCATTGAATAACACGTATCCGTATCAAAAATTAGTAATATAGACCCATATTTCGGGGTAAACCACATAAAACGGGACCCCCAGTATTTTGTGGATTTTTGACACGTTTTCTAACTAACTTGCCTGTAATTTTGTACTTTGGGCTCTCATTGTATATCTCATGTCCGTACTAAAAATGTTTAATTTAATATTGATGTTTAAGGGTAGCATTCATAATATCGTACCCCCCCACAATATGGCGATTTTTGACAATTTTCCAATCAACTTGGCTGTAATCACATATCTGCACTAAAAATTATTAATTTGACCCAAGTCGATATTTTGAGAATATATATATATATATATATATATGTTTATTTTAATACTTAAATTTATTTATTTATTTTTTAAGAATATCCAATAACAAAATAATTTAGATGAAAAGAAAATCCTCCTAAAGTAGTTTAGAAGTGTTATAAGCACCAGATATTTCGATATACCAATTTAACTTCATTTCATTTAACTGATTCTCATTTTTTTATCACATTAAATTTTGTCATTTTATATACTTCTACGTAGCAAAATTTTACTTCAGCACTCTGTTGGTTTCTTGGCTACACAATATTTGGAATATGGATCGAAATAAGTACTACCAGCGCAGGTATACATTTGACCAGTCCATGTACCATCGGGGGTTAGGGAACAGTAAATGTAGCTGAAATGAGAACGAAAACAATTGTATACAATTATAGATAGTGTTTTCATTCAGGAATTTGATACAATGGACGATATTGGGTGTTGGGTCAACAATTTGTGGGACACTGAACTAATGGTTCTAGAACAAGCAAATCAAATTATCATGTATATTGTCTCTTAATGCAACACCAAGTTCGAAAATAGTTAGTGGTCTTTGCGTGCTTAGATGATGAAATGTATCGAAATGAAAATACGAAAACACATTCTGAATTTCAAATCTCTTCAATAAACTGTCTCAAGTTTTTTCATGTAACTCCATACCGAAAATGTCGCTTTTTAGAAACCAAATACTCTGACAAATGACCCTTTTTATAAAAATAGCAATGCTTTGATTGGTTGATTACACAATTATATAATATACAAATATATAATATACACAATTATTAATGTCATTGAATTGCCAATCTAATTTACTTACTTCTGATAGGTGCTTTCAATTTCCGCCGGAACTGGGAATCTACTATTGATTTGCATTATCTGGCAATATTTTAGAGCATATTCGGAAGGTGTTAACGGTCCACAGGGTCCTATGCCGGTATTATTCGATGGACAGGTTGGTGAAACCTACAAAACGATTTTATTCCATTTACATATTAAACCAAGGAACTAACTACCCAATGCTTACTCCATCTGTAGCACTACCACAAATTTTTGGTAAATTTATGTCGCACAACAAATTTTGGCCACACACTCCATTAGCATCGGCAGATGGGGTATTTGTACCCAGACACAAAGCATAGGTATTAGGGCCAGTGCAAGCAAATGTCTGAGTTGCATCACAAACATTACAACCACTACAGCTTGGTGTAATGTTCGACGTTCGAGGTTGGCAAGTTACCGCTGTCGCAGTGGAACAAATAAAATCAGTTGGACAGGAATTTACAGATCCACTGGGAACACCATTTGCACACATCTGATACTGTGTCTCGGACACACACGCTATTTGGGTCGTAGGCGAACAGACATTACATTGGCCTCTTATTTGTAAGAAAAGGCCAAGGAAAACTATAAGAAGCTAAACAAATGTTGCTGTATTATTTATTTATTTTTATTTTAGTATTTTTTGTGCGTGTCAACTCACTATGTGTATTTTTGCCACATGTACTGTCATTATTGCCTTGCTAATGTCTTCTGTTTGAATTTGTTATTGTTTATGCCGAATATATATCCCAAAATGTTCATCAACATTTCTTATCTTTATATTCTTGTTGATACCTAAATTTTAAGTAATTTATTTTAAGTATTATCTTCGTCAAGGTCTTGGGTACTTTTATAAGCTCTTCTAATTGTTTTTGTATATACGAGTGGAAAGTATATTCTCACCGATAGCAAATGTTGGTCAAAACGTACAAATGCGGAACTATTGTCGGTATTACAATTTGTCATCTAAGGAATATTGATTACTTCCCACGATAGAGCTCACAATATTAAAATAGTGCTGTATATATATATATATATATAAACGCAAAATTTGCTTTGAAATCAAAAGTATTCTATAGAAAACTAATTAACCCAATATTTGCTTGGTCAAAACTAAAACAATTTGTTGAGTTTTTTCTTATAAATAAGCCAATTTTGCTAGTAATCTATAGAATAACAAGTATTTGTCATTACGACAGCACACCTTATAGGCATTGAATCAATAAATTTTTAATTTGATCCTTGGGTATACTATTCCCTACATCCTGAACTTTTGGAGAGAGGCTTTGTCTGTTTTTTGCGAAACTTATTTGATTTTCCTATTTATTATACAACCAAATCTTTGACATGTTTTGGTGAATGTCTGGAGGGTATTTTCAAGTTAAAACACACAAATATTTTCTTCGGCGAAAGGAACCATAGCATTTTCCAACAAACATGTATATAAACATGTTATATAAAAATTCCGATCGATTACTTCATACAATACCATTATTGAGCCTCATGCTTCAAGTACCGCCAATTTTTCGTTATTTTGGGCATGCTTCAACCGCTAAATTAAAAATTATGGATATTGGTGGGCCACTCTTTCATAAAATTCTACCTCCAAAATTTCCGTATTTTCGGGAGTTTACGTTTTTCAGCCGTACTGGCCATAGTTTGATATTTTGGTTTTCATTGAGTGTCAAATATGACCATGCAAAATAGAGCTGGTAGCCCAGATTTTTGGTATTGTTAATGTTAACCCCATTTTGGAGGATATATTAAGATTGACCCGGCCGAACTTAACATTTTAAAATGCAAGATTTCGAGAAATTTTAATCAAAATGCCGATAGACGTGTCTTCTATTTTTAGCCCCTCTATCATAACCATTTGGAATTTCCCTATAGTTATCAAAAAAGTTAAATTTTATGCACAGTGTAATTTTTCGTGGGAATGTTTAACATACCATGACAACCTGAACTCCCCTCCAATTGCTCAGTTTTGCACGTTTCGCATATATTTGTTGTTTCCCAAATTCTTTGTATTTTATCCTTTACCCTTTATTTTTTATGACACCTTTCATACGTTTGGGCATGCTTCCCTCTAAATTTTGGATAAAAATTTCAGGAATTTGTCCCCATTCGAATTGTATACGCCGCCAGAATTCATCAATGTTCTCAGGAGCTCTCTTGTATTTTCAACCACAAATTCTCAATTGTGATTGTGCGGGCCACTCCATAAGCTCAAATATTTGTTGGGAAAACCACTCTTTTACTATTTTGGCGGTGTGTTTCGGATCCCCACCCTGTTGGAAAATGACTTGCTCCTGCGTGTATGGACTGGATTGTACGAAGTCTGGTAAATTTGAGTTCAAAATATCTAGGTAGTTTTCATTATCCCACTTATTTTAACAATTGGTCCAATATTATGTCACGTAAAACAGCCCCACTACCTCCACCATGTTTCACTGTGTGTTTCACGTGATGCCTTTGGATGGTTTCTTTGGGACGACGCCAGTAGTAAATTATACCGACTGATAGAAATCTATTTATTTTAACTTCGTCCGACCAAATGACTCTGCTCCAATCCTCAACACTCCAATTCGCAATGTTCTTGCAGAATGCTAAACGAGCCTTAACATTTTTTGCCGGCAAAGCCGGTCTCTTCTTCTTTACTACTGATAGCCAATTCTACACAATTCTCTACGGGCGTTCCACTCGCTTACATTCTTATTTAATGCATCTGCAGCTGGTTTTGGTGTTGTGGAACTATTTTTTCTCATTTCTCGTTCCATTAAGCGGCATCCACGTCAGAAAGTTTCCTCGGTCAACCTCCAACATTTGGCGCTCGCACAATATTTTTTCTTTTCTGGACTTTAATTACAGTGTTTTGACCAATATTCAATTTTTCGGCTATATCTCTGGTGGAAAGCCCTATTTCCGTTCACGATAATTTCAATAAATCGATCTCTTTTCAACACGAGTTTACAACTGATAGTAATGCGAGACCAATAACGGTAAATATTTGTTTACATTTCTGCATTAACTTTCTGCTTTTTCAATAAATGCGAAACGTGTAAAACTGAACATATTTTATGTCTCTCAAGTTCAATTCCTGAACGTGTGATCGGTTTTGCACGTTACTGTAAGTAGGAATTTTAAAAACTATCCCCATATATCAGTCCTAGTTTTCCAGCTTTCTCAATTCTCCAAATTGTTCCTAATTTAGTGCATTTAGTACTATTCGTACATAAATTCGAATTTCCAGCAGTAATCTAAATTCCAAGTCTCAGTATTCCAGCTCTATCCATCTAATCAAATCCAAGAATTTCATAAGCAAGAATTTCTAAAACTACATCAATCCAACACGCTAACTGTGATCTTAAATCTGTAATCAAAAATATACCAAATTTAGTACTTATCGTACTCATAAGTACGAATTTCCGAAACTACCTCAATCCCGCTTTCCAATAGTAGTCGTAATTCCACATTTTAGAATTCCAGCTCAATCTGTTCACCAAAATCCAAATTGTAATGGATTTAGTACCATTCTGTACTTTTCGCACACATATTCCAAAATTAAAATTAAAAAAAAATTATCACATTCCTACACTCCGACAGTAATCTTAGTTGCAACTTTCAGGATTCCAGTTCTACCTGTTTACGCATAAATTCGAATTTCCAAAACTACTCTCTCCGTTCACAAACATCCCAATTGTACCAAATTCAGTACCATTTATTACTTTTCGTAGATGTAAATACGATTTTTCAAAACTTCCTCAATTCTCAATTTCAATCATAAATTTCTAGATGCAAATTTAACCATATTTAGTACTTTTCGTACTTATAAGATCGAATTTCCAACACTACCTCAATCCTGTACTCTAACAGCAATTTTAATTCCAAATATAAGTTTCCAATCTCTATCCGTTCACTCAAATTTGAATTGAACCAAATTTTTTACCATTTAACACATACTTAAGAATTTTCAAAAATACCTTCATGTCCCAATCCTACATTCCAACACTAGTTTTAATTCCAAATTTCAGGATTTCAGCCCTATCCGTTCACAAAAAAAAAAAAAAAAAAAAAAAAAAACCAAAAAAGTTTAAAATATTTGCTACCATTTAGTACTTTTTGTTTCTATAATTAAACTAAACTACCTCAATCCTACACTCCCACTGTAATTTTAATTCCAGAGTTCTGGAGTCCAGCTCTATCCGTTCACATAAAATCAAATTGTACCAAATTTTGTACCATGTTAAACACAGAAGTGGTATACTTCCATATCTCTATTGAACACTCTAACAGCAACCTTTATTCCAAATTTTAGGTTTCCAGTTCTCTCCGTTTACCCAAATCTAGTGCCGTAAATTAAAATAGTACCAAATGATGTACCATTTAGTACATTTCATACACATAAGTACGAATTTCATTTCCATACAACCACAACACTTCCCATTCATTCATATACATTCTAAATATAAGACTTTAGATATATATATATATATATATATATTTACAATTAGTACTAAATGTAGTAAAGTTTAAAACTTTTCGAAGAGAAGAGTATTGCGCCGTATACGCTCTCTTCAAGTGGAGGAGGAACCACCACAATTTACGTTGGAGGATGTAGAAACAGCTTGATGAGCCATGAGTAGAGTACCTTACTAAAGTCCTCAACTTGTCGATACAACCGTAATAGTTCCCGATGCCTGGAAAATAGGCAGGGTGGTCCCGTTACTGGAGCCAGGCAAGGATGCCAGTAAAGGTGAGTCAGTCGCCAGTAGCTAAGACATTTGAGGCTTCACTACTCCCTAGCATTCGTGAATGCTACTCAGTTGCTGATCATCAACATGGGTTCCGGAAGCAGCATACTACAACAAAAGCTTTGCACGCCATTTCCACACACATAGCGAAAGGGCTCAACCAGAACAGACCGGGTAACAAGACAGTCATGGTGGCGCTAGACCTATGAAAGGCATTTGATACAGCCAGTCACACCAAGCTGTTCGAGGACGTCCAGAGAACAACCCTCCAGTCAAGTTTGAAACGTTGGATCGTGAACTATATGTGTGGACGCCAGTCGTACGTGGAAGACCGGAAGTCGAGGTCCCATAGAGTTAAACAGGTAGTTCCCCAAGGTGAGGTGATATCTCCGGAACAGTTTAACCTCTACCTCTCTGGAATTCCCCGCCCACCGGACGGCATAAATATCGTAACATAGGCAGATGATTGTACGATGATGGCGTCAGGACATAAAATTGATATTGATGGAGAGGTCGATAATATCTGTCCGACAAGTGGCAATGGACCACATGATACGGGTCGCAGCCTACCTGAACTTGGAGTTAGAAGCAGAACCAGATTAAGGAGAATAAAAAGAATTACACAACAGTACAAGCTGCTACAACAACAACCCACACTCAAAATTTCTAGCTTCAGCCGTTTCGTCTGGGTGATGACCTGTCAGTCACTAACTCACTTATCACTAACCTCTTTTATATATATTAAGATGATAAAACATGGACATAACTGAAAATTTTCTGTAAATATGATAACATTATAATTAATTTGATTTTTATTACACTTTTTGTCTTTTTGGATTCATAATTCTGAAAATGTTTATAAAAACGAACACCCAGTTGGTATGGTTGCCACACAATAACGGGAGTATGGATCAAAATACGTGCGTCCAGGACAATTATAAATTTGGCCCGACCAGGTACCATTGCGGGTTAGGAAACAGTAAACATAACTGAAATTAAATAACAATTTAATAAAAATCTCACTCATATATGCAATCAGAATCCATACTTCCTGCAGGTATTATCCACTTCGGCCGGTAGAGCAAATCGAGCATTTATACGAATTATTTGACACAAATACTGAGCGTATGTTGGCAATGGTGAGGTTGTTGAAAGACCGGGTGTAGTGGGACTTGCGGTAGTGGTTGTTGTACAAGATGCTGTGACCTTGTGTAAATTAATTACAAATTAGTCGTCAATTTAGCCAGGAGACATTAGATATACATACCCCAGCCACAAGTGGAACACACATTTCAGAGGAGTTTATATCGCATACCAAATTTGCACCACAACTACCAGTAGCTGTTGTAGAGGGTACATTTGTTCCCAAACACAATGCATAGGTATTGGTTCCAGTACAGGCAAATTTTAAGTCGGTGGAACATACATTGCATCCGCCACATGATGCCGGAACTCCCATAGTACTTGATACACAAATTACCGATCCTGTCGTGGAGCACACATAACCCGTTGGACAAGAGTTTACCGCTCCAGACGGTAGATTATTTACACAGAACTGGTATTCAGTTTCGGAAACACACGCCATTTGAGTGGTCGTCGAACAGAAATTGCATTCGGCTGCAAGGACCTCTAGCGTGGGTCCAGAAATAAAGAATAGCTGGAAAATATATAATGATTAAATCAATTCAAGTTTATTTCTTCAATGACTTACAAGCAAAAGTTTTGCGCAAAGAAACATCTTTGGTATTTTTGCCAAACTGTCGAAGAATGAATGATGTAAATGGTCATATTTTGATGATGCAAACTAATCTACAGTACAATGCAGATTTTATCTAATCTTTAGTTATATGAATATGTTATTTTTTTTTCTTAGAAGTGTGTAAATAGGCATTGTAAAATAATAAAATAACTCTGATGAAAAATAAATTTAGTAGTGCAAGTTAACATTAATGGGAACATATAAGAAAGAATAATGTGGATTTGCAGAGAGATAAATGCCCCCATCCTATGAACTTATATATGTAGTTAATATATTCGTTAATATAGCTTTTAACAGTGCTGCGAAGCCGCGTGAAAACAAAACAATGTTGACTCAGTTAGGTACAGTGTACATAACTGCATATTTTCTATTTTTTCATCGAATTGCTATAAAATATGACTTATTTACTTACTTAGCTGGTTTGTGACAGAACTTTCGTTCCATAAGCCGAGCTTAAAAAAGATTTCCAGGAGCATAGGTCTTTTGCGCAGTTTTTCCAATTTGAAAGACCATATTCGGCAATGTTGTCTACCACTTGGTCTTTTCATCTTATTCGTGGCCTTCTACTTCTGCGTGAACCATCAGCTGCTTCGTTTTCTATGCCTTCTTTGACTACCTCGAAGCTATAGTTCTCAAGTTCCACAGTTGGTCCGAGTCTACTGGACGTCTTGCGCGTTGATACCATCAGCTTGGTCTTTTCGCCGTTTACTGCCAGGTCCACTATGGCAGACTCCTTCTCAATTTGTTCAAAGGTGGCTGTTACCACTCTCAGTGTTCGACCCATTATGTCGATGTCATCGGCGTAGGCGAGTAACATGTGTTGTTTGGTGTACAGAGTGCCATTTCTGTTCACTTTTGTCTCTCGTATGACCTTTTCCAGCAGGATGTTAAAAAGGTCACACGACAAACTGTCACCTTGTCTAAATTCTCGTTCGTATTAATCGTATTAATATTGCAGGAATGCCAAACACAGACACGGCTTTATACACCTCTGAACGGATAGAGCTGTCGAATGCGGCCTTATAGTCGACGAATATGTGGAATGTGTCGATATGTTTTTCGTGTTTTTTCAGGATTTGGCGCAGTGTGAAAATCTGGTCAATGGTGGATTTGCCAGGTCTGAAGCCGCATTGGTATAGTCCAATAATGACATTGACCATTGGCTTCAGTCGTTCACACAGTACGCTGGATAGCACTTTATATGCGATGGGAAGGAGACTTATTCCTCTATAGTTGGCACATATCGTCTGTCTCCTTTTTTGTGCACGGGACACCGGATGCTGAGATTCCAATCATTGGACATGCATTCTAATCAGCTGGTGCATGCTCCTTACCAGCATCAGACCACCAGTCTTGAATCGGCACCTGCTGCTTTAGCCGATTGATTGTTATTCTGACTTCATCTTGGCTAGGTGGTAGAAGTTTTTCAAAATGCTCCTTCTAGATCCTCAGCACGCTGTCTGTAACTGTCACAAGGTTTCCTTCTTCATCTCTACAGGAGGATGTGCCTGCACCAAAGCCTTCGGTTTGGTGTTTTACCCGTTGGTAGAATTTTCGTACTTCATTCTGACTCCTGTACATCGATTTGCTCACAATCACGTTTTTCTTCATATTTGTTCTTTTTAGTTTTTTGTATTTTGCAGTTTGTAGGGAGTGGGCAATTCTCTGCCACTGTGCCTCTATATTATTATCGGGACAAGGGGTGATTTCGTCAAGCTGTTATGTTTGCAGCTTTTCGACGTCAAATTTCCCTGTTACATTAGACCGCACCTTTGTTGCTACATTAAGACGTGTGCGAACCTTGGCTGCCACAAGGTAATGGTCCGAATCAATATTCGCTCCTCGTATCGATCGGACGTCTAAAACACTGGATGAATGCCTTCCGTATATCACAACATGATCAATTTGATTTCTCGTTACTTGATCAGGAGAGATACAGGTGGCCTTGTGTATATCGAGATGCTTGAATCTGGTGCTGCTATCTACCATGTTTTTTGTTGCCGCGAAGTCAATCAACCTCATGCCGTTGTCTGATGTCTCTTCATGGAGGCTAAATTTTCCGACGGTGGGGCCAAATATATTTTCCCTTCCGATTTTTGCATTAAAATCTCCTAGTAGAATTTAATGACATGGCCAGGGCAACGGTCATATGCTGCTTCTTTCTTTATCTTCGGTCGGAGTATGGGCGCAAATGAGACTGATGTAGAAGAACTTCGTTTTTATACGGATTATAGCAATTCGCACATCTACTGGAGTAAATCTGGAGACTAGGTCTTTTATTATCCTGTTAACCATAAATCCGCAGCTTAATTTACGTCTCGTTTCATGGCAGCTATAATACAGGGGGTAATCATCTGATTTACTTACGCCAGGTGAAGTTTGGCACAAACCCACCTAATGTTGACATATAAAGGACCACGATCTGTGAATCTGCACTTGAAATGTGCGCACGGTGTACAGAACAGGCGCAGTGTTCGTTTTGGCGGATGTACTTAAGAAGTACAATGCCGATATTATTGCCTTACAGGAAATGCGATGGAAAGGGACTGGCGTAAGTAAATCTAAAGAAGTAAACCTAAGAAGCAAACCTATTGAAAATTCAAGTTCGATGATGAGCTATAACGGTTCACGTTTTGGATTAGCCAATCTATAATTGTAGTCCCAAATTTTCAATGTTTTGAGGTTGGCTTTAATTTGATATTTAGTTTTCTCATAAGGTAGCATGGTCCTTTTTTTGTATGTCCCTTATATAATGATTTTCAGTATTTTGAGAATTTTAAACGCGTTTCAACTAAATTGGGTGTAATTTAATATTTTGGATCTCCACTAAGTTGAAAATCTTTCTGCCAAAAAGATCAATATCGGTCCTCTCGATTTTCAATATTTTGATGATTTTGGACACATTTTTCAATAGAATTGACGGTATAAGAGTAGCCAAAATTAAGTCAGAATAGCAATCAATCGGCTGAAGAATAATAAAGCAGCAGGTGCCGATGGGTTACCAGCCGAACTATTCAAAACTGTTGGTCAGATGCAGGTCAGGAGCATGCACCAGCTAATTAGTACAATTTGGCTAGAGGAATGCATGCCCAATGACTGGAACCTAAAACCTCAAAGCCACAAAAATTATAGGGTTTTGAAAGATTATAAAAATTCCCATTACCATCTGCTTAAATTTTAAATTTCTTGTGCTTTCGTGTTATGAAATCCTCCATATAAAAATTTGCAATTGTAAACATTCTGAGAGAGGAGGAAGCTGACTTTCCAATCGCACCAATGCGAGAATAAATCAGAATGTTCTGGCGATGTGAAAGTCTTATCCCTTCATGAAGCTATATCTAAATCTGAACCGATTTCCACAAAACTTCGCATACATTAATACGGACCATTTTCACTACGCTGTGCAAAATTTTGTTTCAATCGAAAAAATATTGGAAGTTTTGTGCACCATTTACCAAAAATCGGAGGAAACTATATACATATGAAATCTGAAACGATTTCAACAAAACTTCAAAACTATCAAACAATACCTAATTCAGTAGGCTGTGCAAAATTTTGTCTCAATCGGACAAATCTTAAGAGTTTGGTGCACCGTCTACAAAAAATCGGATTAAACTACAAATGGGAGCTTTATTTAAATCTGAACCGATTTCATCAAAACATCATAAATATCAAACAGGACCTAATTCAGTACGCTGTTCAAAATTGTATATCAATCAGACAAATATTGGGAGTTTGGCGCGCCAATTACATAAAATCGGACGAAATTACATATGGGAGCTATACCTAAATCTGAACCGATTCCAAAAAAATCTTGGGATACATTAATCTGGCAGTTTTCGGTAAAATCGAACGAAATAATATATATGGGAGCTATATATAAATCTGAAACGATTCCAAAAAAACTTGGCATAGATCAATCTGGACCTAATTCAGTACTCTGTGCAAAATTATGTCTCAATCGGACAAATGTCGGCAGGATGGTGCTCCATTTACATAAAATCTGACGAAATTATATATGGTAGCTATATATAAATTTGAACAGATGCCTACAAAACTTTGCATACATCAATCTGGACCTAATTCATTGGCAAAAGTGTATGCCAATTGACCTAAATTTGACTCTTTGATGTTCCATTTACATAAAATCGGACGAAACTATATGTATATGGGAGATATATTTAAATCTGAACCGATTTTCTCCAATTTCAATAGGATTCGTCCTTGGTCCATATAAGCGATCTGTGTCCAATTTCATCCACACAAAAATACATGGTCGGACGGACAGACATACAGACGGACATGCATAAATCGACTATGTGTATTCTCAAAAAGAACCATTGGTCAATCTTACATATTGTAACTTTAGGAACCTTTGACGGCTTGTTATTATTATATTTTATTTTTACTTAAGGTGTGCAAATATTTTTTATCTGTACATAATGCTCCCAGATTATTTACTATAGATAAATATTAAAGTAAAGTAAAAAAAAAACTAAAAACTAACTTTTATTATTTTAGTAAAAATAGACAACAGTTACAGTTTATTTTCTCCAGAATTATGGACATGGGATAGATTGACCCATAAAAATGTACGATAAGAAATTTTCATATATACTATTCACAGACTTTATATAAATTGTGTAAGATTAGTCACTTAGTTAGTACGTCAAGGCAACGGTTAAGGTTACGGTCGAATTATGAATCTCATTATTAAAGTAGGCGGTGTAAGTGAAACAGTCCCACAAAAATCCAATACTTTGTAAATGTTTCAAATATTTTCTCCAGTTAGTTGCTGTTGCTTTCCTGGTCGGTGTAATGATCACTTCGACAGCAGCTGATTGTAATGTCTGCAATGCTGGAAGTAATACAGCCTGTGTTTCGAAAACTGAATATCGACAATGCAATTCAAGCAGCAAACCATTCGGTGCCTTATTTGAATGCGAAGGCGGAGAATTCTGTTCCATATTGGGAACATG